AGCTGTTACAGTCTACTTCATAATTACCTGCATTTTTAAAGTGAATAGAAAAATGTATATAGAAACAGTAAATGGTTATTTTAAAATTATTCTATTCATTGCTTTCAAATTTTAGTTTAGGTAACTGGCATGATAATGTGATAAAGACAATACTACCACCATAAGACCTGGGTTAGTTTCTAAACTGCAGATTTTCTGAAATAGCTGCAATTTAATGATGACACGTTTAGATGTTTATCTTTCGATGTGGACTTAATATTCAGGAGCTTACTATATGGACATCTTTCAGAAGAAAATTATTTACAGTTGCAAATTTGGATTTTCATAATCATTCAAGTGATACAGAAACAAGTTTTTGGGAAGATATTTCTTCCTACTGTTCATTATTTCAGTCAAAAATTAGCCATTGTAAAATAGAGAAATTTTTCACGCAGAAAACTTCTGGATGGCAAGATACTTACTTGTACAACAAATACAGACAAAGACCATGATAAACAATTGATTGCCTACATAAGCTTTTATGTTATGTGTTATGATGCCCAGAATAAGAATAAGGTCAGAACAGAATGACTAGAACCTGGTAAACAAATTACTGCTTCTGAAATTGCTCAGAGAGGAAAGAGCAGACATACAGAAACATACTGGACAACACTGTATTGAGAAAGCAGATTATGAAAGGTTTCATTCAGACACTTAAATACTGCTGTAAAAACTAAGACTACCACCAATATCAAGTATGACTGGGAGGAGACAGTAGCTTAGTCTACCTTACTCCCAGCCACAGTTTTAGCTTGAAGCAGCCTGTCTAAACATGCAAACAGATACAGCCTGGCTGCCACTGCAAAAAGAGAGACAAAAGTAAAGCAGATCAAATGAAACAAAAAACAGTCACTGATGAATCCCCCCAGATCCCTAAAAACAGAATTAAGAGGTGGCCTAGGAAGCTGCTGAAGTTACTATCTATCTGCTGGCTTACCTCCTTGTAAAGCAACAGGGAAAAAGGGAGCTCCCCCTGAAGCTAGCTGTCCCAAAGGACTATATAGCATCTTCTCTCAGTTTGGACATTATCTCCAGTTTCTTCAAGCATTCAGCATTTTTCTGTAATTGCTGGGAAACTAAAATTCAAATTTACACCTGTGCGAATAAACACTTTGCAAGCTTGTAATTTATTTTCCACTGCACTCATTTACTTTTGGTCTTTTACTTTCTTTTTCCAACTGCATGTATCTACATGATTATGTATTCACATACGCTGAAAAATCAATGCTTGGATTACCACTAAAAGTAACAGAGTCTAGGACACGCTTACTAGCAGAAGTCTGATTTTTATGGAGAAGAAAGAAATAGTGCAAAAAAGAGCATAGCTTTCTGCCTAACAAAGCTATGACTGCCCACTGGCAGCCCAAGTTTGCTGGCTTTCAGATGATACTGGAAAGCTTAGATGTTTACAGTATGAATTATGAGACAATCTCAAGTGAACAGCAGCAGCCATCCACAATTAGTACTACGCTTCTATCACAGAACACAAGCAAAAATGAACTGCAAGGCAAGCCCAGCTTTCCTCAGCATTATGCTATTTTCCAGAACAGAAAAGTATAATGATTCAGCCTAGCTCTAAATTTCCTTGCTTTTTTATTTGCCTAATTGGGGGTTTACAATTCTTTTATCAAGTGGCAGTAATAGGGAAATATTAATATAAACTTTGATGAAGATCATAATTGCTTCACAAACCAGAAATGTAAGACCATATAGCATGGTCAACAACAGCAAACAATATTATTTGGGAAAGACATTACCAGTCTGGATTTTTTAATGGGTACATATTCACATTGCTGATTATTCAAGCAATTACATAATATGACATTCAGATCTCAGGTTGCTTTAACTAAAATATATTCCAATTGTTTGCTTTTATCAGCAAAAGTAAATTTCAGCGGATTAAGTTTCAAAACTTAGAGATAATTAAAGCAGTCTTGCTCTTTCTGCAACTACAAACATCACCTTTCAGAAATATAATTTATGCTGAATCTTGAAAGTTGAGAACACTTGAAAAACAACTCACATTTTGATATAATGACACTACAATTAAAAGACTTTCTGATGCAAGACTAAGTTGGTCTCTGGATTAAATTTGCTAAGCAGCAATTTCTAAAGATCCTGTATTTAGTTGCAAACACACTGAAATTAATACCTCATCCAGGAATCAGTCTTGCCAATAGTCCTGCCAGACTACTGTGATAGTTGCTAAAGACAACAGACGAGAGCACTAGTCTCTAGTCCCTACAGAGTATGTACAAATTCTACAGGATCACTCTTAAGTTAATCAGTGCATCCTCATTTCCTTTATGCTGTTGCTTTCTAGACTAGTTCACAAATAAATCCTCAATAAATATATATACACACATATTAGGTCAGTAGTTAATCTACAGATACATCAACTACCCAACACTGTTTTTCCAAATACTTGAATTTACTGAAATTTCAGTGAAAAAAAAAAGTGCAAAATATCAAAGAAGGACACCTCTACAATCATTCCGGGCTCTCCAGAGCAAGGAAAGCTATTTGTTCCTTCTGGGAGAAAAACATCCCAGTGTTTTGTTGGCTTGATTAAAAAAAAGCAAGATTTGAGAATCACTTGATATCTCTGGGGTTCCAAAAGCAAAAAAAGATGATACAGCTCATTCTTTTCCTTTTTCCCTTCATTTTTTATTTGCTGTACTTCATTTTTATTCACTTATATATTTGAACTCAAGTCATCAAACACTTAACTGATAACATGTAATTCCTTGATGTGTGTGTGGCTTTCATTCTTCAGCAGGTCAGCCTATAAAATTATTGGTTTAATAGAGTTTTAGGTGAAGATACTATCACAGCAGATGTCATTTTAGAGACAACGGCACCATTTGGAGTCTACAGATAAGACCTTGTGCATTTTGCATAGGAAGCTTCTAGATGACCTTATGGCCCCAGCAATAGAGAAAGAAGATACAGGAGATTCTACTTTTGTTTTATTTTTCCTTTTTGATAGATGGAAGATGGAAATAATCCCTTTCAGCTATTAAAGTTGTTCCAGCACATTTAATTTTAGCTATTCTGGCTCAAGGCTTTGGAGTTATCTCTAGCGATGTTAAGCCCCAGCAAACTTTTTTGCCGAGATCTTTATAGGAATATCTATACGGCAATGTAATAGCTGGCTGCTGCCAGAAGAGCAGAGACTAAAAATGAAGACACTATGCTCTCAAACGCAAAAGAAAGAAAAAATGAATTTTACAGATGTGCACATGCTGAAATATCCAAAACATTTTCTTTGCCTTGCATAGCTTCCTCATCCTGTTGCCATATGGTACAAAGAATTTTCCATCTTAATATTTGGAGACTGTTTTTCTAACAGAAGATACTAGATAAATTGGTAGTTTCTTAATAAGCAGGATAAATAAAGTTTATTATTCTTTAAAATTAAGACAGCAAACCAATTATTTCTTCCTTGTTAAGTTCACTACCAAATAACCTGTGGAAAAAGACATATGCCACAGATTACTGTATATTCAATGACCAGCTGTTTTAAATTTGGATATTAAGTAATTCACTCTTTTCCATGGCAAGTGCTGAATGATTTAATAAATTCTCATATGCCCCAACATGTGCCAGCTATACTTGGTTATCAAAATCCAGCTGCTGTTGTGATATTAGCTGCCAAAGCTAAAACTACTGAAGGGAATAATGAGTAACTTCAAGTCAACTAAGACACAAACTGACACAGTTCCCACTGAAGATACGTGGGAAAACAATGTATCTGTCAATTAAAAACCTAACCCTGACCCACAATCACATGAAAATTAAGCGCCAAGAACTCGTGTGCATTGTTTAGGGTGGAAAATTAATGCCCAATCAACCTGTATGAAGACAAGCAGCTCCATTTCCATGAGTTATCCTAGATGTACAGGAATGTCCTATAAGCTACACATACAGTTTGCAAAACAGATTCTATTGTGTTGCAATTTGCTTCTCTTTCTTACGTATCATACTTCCTACACAGCTCTTTCATGACATGTCTTACATAGCTAGACTGCTGGATTTTTCAATGATAATGAAAAATGGATTATGAAAATTTGATTCTTCTAAGTTCAAGTATTTTAATGAAATTGAAGAGTCAAAGGTACAACTCCACCACCTTTAATTCATTAAAATGAACATTAAAAAAAAAAGAACAAGAAGAAAAAATAAGCCAAACAAAAAGAGAAAGCGGCTAAACAAAGTGACAGAAAGAATTCTCCAAACACCTATTTTTAGGGCAGTCAGAACAGAAATATCCACCAAAATTCACCACTAACAGATTTTAAAAGCTAAGAAGAGACTTCCTTGCATATTAAACTATTAGTTGTAGTTATAAAAGCTTTGCAGGTCAATAACTTTCATCTTCAGGTCAGCATAAGTAAACACATGAGGACACACTCATTTTTCAAAATTAGCTCTGTTAAGGGAAGTAATTTTGAAATTATCCTAGAACTCACAAGGAAGATTAGAGTATTACTATATTGATGTAAACATGCACCAGCCATAGGACAAAATTATTATTTAAAAAAAAACCCACAAAACCAACCATTCACATTTGCTGGAGCTGGATCATCTCCAGTACACAAAATATACAATGCTCAAAAGCCACATTAAAGAAGACTGCAATAACATCAACTTCAAGCAGTCTATATATAGCAGTTTAAGTATAAAACATAATTTTCAGAATGCTTTATTTGAAAAAGATTAGGAATATATTGACAAATTAAAAGCACGTCATGCAGAGATTTAAGATGCTTATAAAAGCTCAAGCAAAGGGGCAAACCACATCAAGGGGCTTACAGAAAACTCAGACTTTGAAAGCTTAAAGCAGCTCATTCTTTTCATACCTTAATTATGAAGTTGCAAGTAATTCTGTTTTCAGCCACATGTTCTTGACATTGCAAAAACCCCAACACTGTTATTTTCTCAAATATTAGTAGACTTACTTTGCTTTAAGGAAATCCACTACTTGTTTGAAGTCTGCCACGCAGTATTCTCTTTTCATGTCCATAAGCACACTATCAGAGGCTGACTGGACAGGTATATGCAGAAAAGCATACACCCTTGGATGATTGAGAATCTTTGCCATTTCCTAAGAGTTATTTAAAGAGAAAAAAAAAGCTTTCAAACATTATGAAAACAACATGCAAAACTCCTTTAAATAATCATGCCGGGTAAGTATCAGTAGTCATACTTCTGAAACCCAAACAATACTGAGTTGCAGTGGCCCAGTTTGAAAAAGCAGGGACAGGTGAAAATATTTGGAAACATTTTTGGTTTTAAACCAAATAACAAAAGCTATGGGACTGCATTTCCTTTGAGGTAGGGATGTCATTCCCTACACAGTATTGGTTATTCAATTCAGAGAAAACTTCAGAGGCAAAGTATTGCGAAAGTCAGTGCTTTCCAGAGAGTGGCTGTTTTAATTTCAGAAGATGGCAAGGGCTAGCTGCTTCTTGTCAGAGTCAAGTAAGTTCTCAGATACCAATAGAAATTGTCTCTAACTGGAGTACCTTTAAACTTGGCCATCTGCTAATAAAGGTATACCTGGCCATTTGCAAACGTGCTCTGATACTGGTCTGAAATACGCTACCTGTGTTATTTCAAAGAATTTTCTCCAGGAATTAAGTGTTTGGCTACAAAATAGCCATCTATCTATTTTGTAGATAGAATTAATCAGGGGTCAGGTAAAAGCAGAGTGGCAGCTTCAAAAGAGACAGAGAATGTTAAACATTTTGTACAAATACAAAGGATCAGAAAGAAAACAAAGTAAAGGCAATAGCAAGATGCAAACAAACCCCCAAATCAAAGTCAAACCAAATCCCCGACTGAGGCTTGGTAGGATGATGGAACACAAGGTGATGAACACTTCCATCTCATGGAATATATGTGAGGTGGTCACATTTCTTTCATTTCTATTATTTACACAATCAAGGACATAGAGTCTAACAAGAAAGTTTAAATATTTTTAGAAGTTGAGAAAAAAACAGCATCTAGATTGTACACAATATAGTACAATCTGGCCTGTTAATCTTTACCCTGAAAAATATAAGTGAACTTGGACAAAGAATCATATTTACAAGCAGATTTTAACTTCAGATTTACCCTTTCTCGCTGTGCACTGAGCATACAGGACACCGCCTGGGACTAAGCACTGCAGTGCCCGCTCTTCTGCTATGTGCATCCTGCACACCCCAGTCAGGCTCACCCACACTGTTTCTCTATTTCTCCTATTTTCTTTGACAGCATAGATACTCTGTCTGACAACACATACGGCTGCCAGACTTAAGGTTTTAAATTGCAACTATTTACAAATTCTTTCCAGACCATTAATCGGCAATATTAGTCGCGCATCTAGATTTTCTGTCTGTATTTCTACAGGGCTGGCCTAGGTTGTTCAATGAGAGAGTAAACATCCTCATGCTTTTTAATTTTCAGGTCCCCACCTTTTAAAAACACTGACTTTTAGAGCAAGAAGAGAAAACACTCTTTCAGCACACACCTTTCACCTGACAAACTTGCATACAAAACCTGAACTCTTTCAAATCATTTTTTGAAAGCAGTTTTGAAAGGTTCTGACTAAGAAGACTCTGTTACATAAAAATCTAAGAGAAATGGTTACATTATTCAGGGGGATATCTACTCTATCTCAGGTGTGTAAACTAAACATTACTGTAATAACTATACTGATAATGGATAGCATACAATTTGATGGACAGAAAGGCTGTGTGCAGTGAACCTGGCTCTCAGTGTAAGCTGGAGTTAGCTGGCTTAGTGAATAAAAGAGTAAAGAAAAGGCAAAATCCGAAAATCTAAAATGTGTTTTCCTACCTAGAGGATCTCAAGAAAACACTCAACCAACCTGCTAGTTCCTTATCTTATGGTAATGTGCAGAATCCTGAGATCAAACGCACATACAATACACATTACGTTACTTGCAAACCCTCATCCAGCCTAGCTGCTGTGGTCACAGATTTCAGGTATGTTCTTGTCATGATTTAAACCCAGTCAGCCATAAATCACGCAGTCTCTCTCTCACTCCCCACCACTGCTTCTTGACCTCCCCCTGCTCCCAGAGGGATGGGGAGGAGAATCAAAAGAATGCAACTCCCATGGGTTGAGATAAGAACAGTTTAGTAACTAAGGTATAATACAAATCACTACCGCTGCCACCAATAATAACAAGGGAAGAGAATACAACACCCCACCACCTGCCGATTGATAACTCGCCCCAACCCACCTGACCAAGCACCAATACCTAGTCCAACCCCACAGTGCCCTAGCCCTTCTGGGTAACTCTCAGTTACATCCTGGCCATGACGTGCTGTGTATGGAATACCTCTTTGGTCAGTTTGGGTCAGGTGTCCTGTCTCTGCATCCTCCCGGCTTTCCCTCCTCCCTGGCAGAGCATGAGGTTCAGAAAGTCCTTGGCCAGACCAAACATTTGAGCAGTCACTAAAAACATTGATGCTATCAGCACTGTTCCCAGCCCGAAAGTCAAAAAAATAGCACTGCACCAGCTACCAAGAAGGAGAAAAAACGACTGCTACTGCTGAACTCAGGACAGTTCTGGACACTCAAAGCAACTTCTAGAAAAGAGGACGTTGCAAACAACTTTTTCTAGCACCAAGTCTTTTCTTTGCTTACTTTCTATATGTAAAGCCACATAAACAAGCTGCATGTGCCTTAAGCACTGAATTCCCTTTAAGTATCTTATTTTCAGGTACAGATATGAATCAAAGGCCCTAATGATAAACTGGTTTCCTACCAAGTACTTCAGAATCATAACTATTAACTTGGTGAATTTAGCAGAGCATAAATTATGAACACAAATTATTAACACAAACCAAACACAAGACAGAAACACCCGATGACTTGCTGTCATTCACTTTTAAGTACCACTGGTGTTCTTAAATTTATCGTTTATAACTAGAAACTTGGAGTGAGCAGTTCAGAAGGAAAGAGAATAACAAACTAAGTAAAAGTTTTTCATGATTACATCAGGATTCTGGATAAATCCATCTTCCAAACCTTGTAGTGTTCAGATATACATATCACACTCAAACCCAGAGCTTTAAGGTAAGATCGTTCCAGTCTTATCTTTTATCCTCCCCACATCTAAAAAGACACTGAAGTACTTCACCACATAGGTTTGATTAAGTTACAGCTATGTGCTGAACAATCATACTTAGTCAATGCTGACAGATTTTCCCACGCCACAGACGGCACACAGAATACGAGGTTTCATCACTTAATAAAACTATTAGTTAATATCCCAGAGAGAACTTGAAGGACATCATGGGCTAACACATAACTGTACTTCACAGTGTCTCAACATTCTAAGCTTAACATCTGTTTCCTGTTGGGTTTTAATTTTTTTTTTTTTACAAAGTGCTTTGCATTACTAGATATAATTACATATTTCAGTTAGAAGGAAAAATGCAATATAGAATTTTATTTCCATCTGGAAACAATAAATGAGCAACTTTCTGAAATTGTATGACTGTGAAAGAAAATTTCTGTCTTTAATCATGAGTGAACCAGCTGATTCCCTTTTCCTTTTATCCCCTGGAATCTAGTAAGTCTATGAACTAAGGGAAGCACTACACAAAAATGACATTTCATGTAGGAATGAAAAGGTCAAATAGTAGCCCAATTTCGTTTAAGCTGACTTTACAAAAAATAAAAGCCACATACATTTGGAGTCTAACAATGTATGTAAACTATCCTTCAGTATACTGAACACACAGGAATTCTTTTTTTTTCCCCAGTTCTTAGCAGCTGGAGTACATCAGAACCCAAGGCACGTATCCAGGAAGATTTTTATCTAGTCAGTGTATTTTATCCTAGCAATTACAATACACAAGTTTAACCACCTAACCAGAAAATCACTCCTTCTGTTTGTAATGACACCATGCGCAACCACAGAGAATCATAGAGAAAATAAACATCAATATCTGTGCATCTTTATGTAAGCACTAGAAAGCTGTTCAGACAAAGATCCCTTCCCCTAACCTAAAGTAGGCAAAAATTCAGGATTTGAATTCTGTCTCATGTTTGAGTCATGATGATGTGAATAACTTGCTTCCTAGTAAAAGGATTTTGTCCTCTGCCAGCAGTGAAGCCCAAATGAACCCTCACCCATATGGAAACATGACAAAATGGCACTCCCTCAAAACTTCTTCCCTGTGGCAGATGTTAGTTTGCGATATATCATGAGGGGTGTCTACCAACTGTTGTGTTCCAGAGGCCCAGTGGTGCCACTGACAGCATGGTCTGGATAAAAATCAAGTTGCTGCAGTCCATTTTATAAATTCCTGTGCTGCAGCACAGCTCAGGAACAGATGTGATGTAGAGGTGCAGGCCTGGCAATGATGACACAGTCTGATCAAGCCTGGAAAGCTCGTAACAGTTTTGTTGAAACTAATGAACAGGGAACCTTTTCCCTACTTCCCACCCTCCATGGGTAATGTGGCTGTAAAACCCGAAGAAGCTGTAGGATGTATAATGGCAAACTTCGCCAAGGACATGGGCTGGAAGGCAATGCCTCCCCCTCATCTATGTATGAAGTGGGAGAGATATAATGAAGCCATATGATGGGCAAGCTTAGCATAAAGATAAACTGAGGTCATATTGGAGCAGTCAGAAGCCCACACAATTCTGACCAATGTAATTTGAACCTTAAAATCAAATCTTTGGGTTGTCAGATGGAGCACAAAAATCTGTTTTGTCATACGGGAAAAATGTCTTCTACATTACCAAACAAAAAGCTGGTATTAGCTCAGGCCACCCTTAGAAGTGGATATAAACCAGACTGCAAGCCATGATTTGTTGACAGAAAAACTAGCCGTGAGAGCCATATGCTCAGCCCTAGCTGTTCCCAGCTGTTCTCCTAGATGTGGGATCTCTCTACTGCTTCCAATGTCATAAAATAGACAACGGTAGCTAGCTAAGAAATTCTTCTCCCTCATGGCTATCTGTTAAGCTTAATCTCTTAAAAAACAAATGAAGCCATACCAAAAACATCTACATACCTTCATGCCACATCTTCTTTTACACCCCCAACAAACAAGTGACATCCAAATAACACAC